AGGGATTCGGACCCTCACCAGTCTCCAGGCCTTCCGAAAAGCCGTCAAAACCTGGCTTTGCCGGCAGGCCTGGGGGTGACATGTATGGTTGTGCGGCTGTTGCTTATTTTTATTATTTGTATTTCGTTTTTATGTTCCCCTTTTTCCCCTTTTGAATTGTTCGCCGCCCTGAATCCTCCCGGAGAAGGGCGGCATATAAATAATAAAATTCCATTCCATTCCATTCCAAAAATGAGTGAAAAACGGGCCGTTTTTTTCTTGGTTTTGCCCCCTCCCCAGCCCCCAGGAGCACTCCATAAGTCTCCTAAAGGCTATTCATGCCCTTTTTTAAAGACAAAAACCAGGCCCGTTTTCATGAGAAATGGGCCGTTTTTTGCTTGTTTTCGGGAGGCCCCAGCCCCCAGGAACACTCTCCAAGCCTCCTGAAAGCTATTCATGCTTTTTTGGCAAAAAATGGGCCCGTTTTTGCAAAAAAAGGACTGTTTTTGGGAGGACCGCAAAGTGCAAAAACTTCTTTTTTAATTTGCCTTATCAAAATCTTGGTGCGTCTTATACTCCGAAAAATGCGGGTAGACAGAAACGTTTCGCCTGGATAATACTTACTTTATAAAGTTCTGGCTGATCGTTGAAGGAATCCTGCTTCACGAGATCGTGCCCATTTTCAGAGCTGTTCTTTTGGTCTTGCTTTGCCGTTTCCTGCACTGCTTTCTTGGGCCAAATGCGCTTCACGAATGGAGAGATGAAGGGATAAAGATATGGCTCCAGGAACCGTTTGTAGACCCACAGCAGAACTGGAATGACGATGCACGGAATGCACACCATGGTTCTTTTGTAGCGTGCTTTAAAAATGAGCTGGAGGAAGAAATGCAACAGGTTGAAACCATTAGGTAGATAAGGTTCATCCTCACCAATTTGGGGGGGGGGGGAGAATACCCTTTCCAAATCCGTATGTAGGGAAACCTTTTCCACCTTTTTTTTTTAATATAATTTTTTTTTTATTTTTGTTACATAGACAACATATACACACAACAATAGAAAAAGAAAAGCAGAAAAGAAAAAAGAAAAGAGAGGGGAAAAAAAACAAAGCCCATCGTCACATACAGTATGTCATCTGATTACAGGAGTTTTAATATTTATCATTCTTATACATTCATTGTTTCATTTAATAGATTATAATTTAGTATCGTTTTATTCCCCTACCTGTTGCAATCCATCCCTACTACGTTTCCCCCACACACACACACACCGTATCTCTCTTTTATATATTTAATAGACACAACAATGAAATAAATTTTAAAAAAAAACACACAAAAAGAGAAAAAAAGAAAAAAAAAAGAAAATAAACCATCATCACATGCAGCATGTCGTTTGGTTACAAGTGTTTTAACATCCACATCCTCCAATAATATTTACCGTCTCAAACGTTTCATCTAGTATAACTAAAAACCTCATTTTCATTCTACAATATATATTCAATTAACATTAGCATTATTTTTTTCCAGAAAGTATACTTATGTTCATTATTGTCCTTGCATTTCATACCTTCAAAGAGATCTTATTACTTCATTTTTCAACAAGACATCACTGCATATATATATACCAGTTTTCATTTGTTCCCTTATTAAAATTGNTTTTCTGTACAGAAAAGTACTTACATCTATAAAGGAAGCATTGATATAATCTGTGTACTCCTGACCTCGTTTCATTGAAAGAATCACTCTGTTAAAATCATCTAGAGGACAAAAAAAGTAGAATTAGTAAAATTCTAAACGTTTTATAATCAATAATAACATAAAGGCTTTAATAAAATTTAGTTACATTTCAGTTGCTTGTAAAACATTACAATATTCTTTTAGGTAAGTTTTTGTCAATTAAATTATACAATTTGTTTGAAAATGCAAATTAATTTCTTACAAGGGATTATTTGGATAACTCTGGCTTTCTTCATATTTGCTGGCAGATTACCAGTTCTCATGTTTTCTTTCATTATTCGAACATTTGTTAATTTCTGAAACAAAAGTAAAAATTACATAATGACCACAAATGAAAATATGAAAACTCAATGTGAGAACAGTAACAAGTTCAACCAATATGTCTTAATCATATTTTCTCCTGGAAAATTCTGCTTGATAAACCAATATATCATATAATTACATTTGCACTGAAACTTTTGTTACGTACGTCTATATAAGGAAAATTTTAAATATCTACCATACAATGTCTACTTAGTGTTGATTGGTCTACAAGCTGTGTAGGAAGTTAAGTGTAAGGAAGTTAAGGCCAGTTTGTTATACTATACTGGTTAAGGTACTTTGGGGGAGGGAGGGGAGAGAAATAAAAATTGTTTTCTTTTTTTTTAATGAAATAGCATCAGCTGAAAAATTCACACATCTATAAGAATCTAAAAGAATGTTTTATTGAAATACTGTTCGTTAGTTATGTTAACAGAGTAATTTTTCCTTCACCAGTACAAATTTATTTTTGAACACGATTATTTTTTTCCTACTTAACACTATCAATGTATTTTGTACTCCCGATCAATTTTTTTCTTTTTCAAATATTTGCTTGGGTGAGGTTTTTGTTTTAATATTTTCTTTATGCTGCTGCTTTTATTTTCATAGTACTTCGTTTCAGTAAAAAGAAAAATTAAAAGGCTAGAAATAATAACTTCAATTTTAAAATTTTGCATAACTTTTGATATTTTAGGTATAAACAACGGACAGATATTGCCAAAAAAAAAATTCAAATATTTTAGGAGAAGAAAATTAATGTATTAAAAAAAAAGAAGTATTGGGTCAATCACCAAATTACATTTTAAAAGTGTACTTTCTTATCATATTTTATAACATTTTTAAAGGCTTACTTTAAACTCTTCTTCCAATCCTATCTTAACAAAATTTGGTGCAGTGCTATTTGATGGCTGCAGATGTTTTTCTAAGGACGATACATCCAGTTCTGTGTCACCATAGAGGTAGTATTCAAGTAAGGCTTGATATATGAAGGAATACTGCATCTGTAAAGAAACAGAACACTCTAAATCACAACCTTTGAAACATTTTTAGTTAAATAGACATTGCTTTAAAATTAAAGATTTCACTTATTTTTACAATGTGTACGGACAGTCCTCAACATTTGAATCCAAAATTTATGTTACTAAGTGAAGCATTTGTTAAATGAGTTTTGTCCCATTTTATAACCTTCCTTGCCACAGCTGTTAAAACGAATCATTGCAGTTGTTATATTTAGTAACACGGTTATTAAATGAATCTGGCTTCCCCATTGATTGTGCTTGTCAGCTTGTGGTAGAAGGTGATCACATGACCCCAGGACGCTGCAACCATGATAAATATAAGCATCCAAATTTTGATCATGTGACCTGGGGTTGCTGCAAAGATCATAAGTGTGAAAAACGATAATAAATCACTTTTTTTCAGTGCCCTTGTAACTTTAAACATTCACTGAATGAACTGTTGTAAGTCGAGGACTATCTGTACGTGACCCGACAAATGCGCGCACGACAAAAGCGCGCCGACAAAACCGTGGCAAGAAAACCGCGATGTCCAAATCGCGCTCACAACAGCGCGCCCACAAAAGCGCGATTAGGGTTAAGGTAGGGGTTAGGGTTAGGTTCAGGGTTAGGTTTAGGGCTAGGGTTAGGGTTATTACGTTGTTTTCGCGTTGTTTGTTGAAGGCGCGCTTTTGTCGGCGCGCTGTTGTGGGCGCGATTTCGACGTCGCGGTTTTCTTATCGCGGTTTTGTCAGCGCGCTTTTGTCGGCGCGCTGTTGTGGGCGCGATTTCGACGTCGCGGTTTTCTTATCGCGGTTTTGTCAGCGCGCTTTTGTCGGC